GTAAATACTTTTCGAGATAATTAGTGTACCCACTTAAAAGAATCACTCTGTATAAAGTTTCGATCGTTTATCGATATATCATTATAGCAGTATACAACTATATTGCTTATTTTATTTTATTTTTTAAATTAACATTAATAATCCTGGATAATCTTTTTTTCAAATCTTGATTTCTAAGTGTGTTTTAACTTCGTACCGATTTAAAGATGATCGTGCTACTAAATAAAATAGRTAAGAATTTTAGGACTATGCGACGTCGTCCAAGTTGTGTATCTTACGTCATATCGATCGACGCAGCTGAAGTGACCTACGACCTTTGCAGCTGTCGTTGATAATATCATAACAATAATAATAATAATATAATATTACCCTACCTAGGTGTTTACCAAYGAATAAACTGTTTTTAAGCGTGATCRATCGAGCCCGTTTCTACATCGTTGCAGAGTTAGCCCCAATTAGTGTAAAACTGTCTGTGATAATTAACCTCTGATTCAATATAATATCATAACGTCGTGTTTAAGTACGTAAAATATACAAGTCAAATTATCATCTGTCCGGTCTGCGCGCGTCATGTTATACGGAATAAAGTGTGAGTGAGTCGACCGAAATAATATAATAATATTAATATAAGGTATATTATGGCGGGTACCAAGTCAAAAAATAAATTTGCGTGATTAAACCGAATTTTCGCGAAACTTTGTTGCATCGTTAAAAACTTGAAAATGAAAAAAAAAACCACCGACTTTACGTATATTATTATTATATTGTCACCGCATTAATTGCGTGTTTTTATTTTTTTCTATCGCCGATGAAGTACACACCCCATGTGCGCGGTGAGAAACACGCGATTTTATTTCATACGGTTTTCTTGAAAAATGTTTTAGAACTCCACGCGAWTCGTTCGATGATATAAACTATACACAGCACTCTGCATAACAGCGACAAACAAACAATATAAAGACGACAAAACAACTTGGCACGTAAATGAATTACAGTTTTTTGTTTGTTCGTTTCAGAGCATTGCGTGCTTGCGGGGTTTTACTGGAACATTTTAAGACTAACGAAGTATGTTTATTTAATGCGATAAAAATTATAATATCGTATCATATATTTGATAAATATAAACACAGCAATAACCTCTCGCTTTTTATTTTTGTGCAACTAATTTGTATACCAWTAACGGCTAAAGTTCTTGTGTTTTTCCTTTTTTTTTTGGAATTAACAAACATATATAATGTTTTTTCAACATCAACGTAAAAAAATAATACGATTAAAAAGAAAAAAAAACATTTTTCTTCAAAACATAAGTATAATAATATTTCCGTATTTTTTTTAAATTAACGTCATTATCTACTTAGTATTCTTATTGAATTATTTAAATATAGCAAACAAGATATTCGCGGAATTTCAGATTTTGAAACTTTAAAACTGCCAAGGTGAAGTAGGTACCATATTATTCGAAAAACGATAACTATATTAATGTACAAATGAAAAACTCATTTTACTAAATATGTACTTATTGAGTTTCTAAAAATGTTGATGATGTGCAGATATTGATCTGCCGACCGCATTAATRATACCTTAATGGTTTATAAATTATAACGATATTGAAAACTAAACTCGGTAATATACTATCAGAATTCATGTATATTACGTATTATATAGATATTTTAAAAATCAACCGGAGCTTGTATATTGTACCTGGTATAATTTATGGACCTTATCGATAATGACGTTCTTGCGCATYGACGTAAAACGCAAAATAAATCAACAAATTGGCCGGTACGCGTTTGTTGAGTGTTTTGATTCTGTTTCAGTTTTCGGTTGAGTTTCAAGAGAAAAGAAAGAGGTGGAGGTTCCGGAGGTAGTGTTTATGGTTGTCGAGAACACCGGGACAGCATATCGGCTGTTCCCGCACGGTTCATCCAAGCAACCAGCGTACGCAGAGAGACACTCAATCCGAAATGGGGTGAAAATTTCATGTTGTAAGTATCGCATGAGCTCTATCCATAATATATTATTTATTTTAATTTTGGATATCGATCATTTATAGAGTAAATTTGTTTTTGTTTTTTTTTTTTATAGTGACATCGATGACGTGACCAGTGACATCTTACACTTGGACATATGGTAAGATAATCGATGATATTTATTTTATTTTATTTTTGATTCATTTAAGTATCTGCACTTATTATTTCAAAGYCTTAACTTTTTTTWAAATATTTTTTCCTCCATTTTATGATGTCAATTTTATTCAAAACGAAATTTCTGAAAAAATTTTAATATTATTTACTATTTGCTATCGTAATATATTTCTTAAATTTTTACTTTCATGAATATCACCATACAATTTTTAATTCCAAATTTCTGATTAKAATATATTATTTGGACTATTTCAATCTATAAAGATCAAATAGCTATAYATTTATTTTAAAACGATGATAATATTGTAATACATTTCGTAGTACCRGCTAGGTATATACTATTAAGGCCAACTTTTCTGGGTGGTTAGAGGCCCTCAATTTTGTATAAATTATTKTTATGTTGGTAAATAAACGATACCGGAATGATTGGCATATTGTGATGAACAGAAAATCCGTTCCTGATTTTTGAACAGGAAAAAAAACAAAAAAGAATTTTATTATTAAAATTTTAAAGAATTATCAAAAATCTCAACGTGTAATATATTTTGCTTATCGACGTGTGGTGGTGAGCAGGGACCACGATGACGAGTCATCGGTGCTGGACGCTGTGAGCAAATTGAAYGAAGTGCGGGGCGTCAAGGGTCTAGGGAGGTTTTTCAAGCAGATCGCTCAGAGCGCTAGATCCGGTAGCCAAGACGATTTCTTGGGTTGCATAAATATACCGATTCAAGTAACAGATATTAATATATTCGGGCTTAAAACCACGTCGACGTACGCACATCTAGCTTTAATGTAATATTTTTATGGACGTAACAGGATGTGCCTTCTACGGGCCTAGACAAATGGTATCAGCTAGAAGCTCGGTCGCAGCGGTCCAACATCCAAGGAAATATACGRCTGAAACTGTGGTTGTCCACTCGCGAAGATCACGGCCAGGCGAGTGTGCAAAATCATTTCGACAACTGGACCGACGTGCGTCGAAACGAAAGGCTATTGACCATATTTGCCGATTACGAGATGTCACTGACAAAATCCGTAAGTTTAATTTAATGATGTAGGAATTCGTTTATTTTGGCACTATTTTTTACTCTACTGAAAGTACTAATATTATTATTATTTTATTTTATTGTTACCATTATTATTATTATCACAGAGCCTGTGGAATGGTGAACTCTGTCACGAGGCGACAAGCATACTTCATCAGCACGCCGTGCAGAGCGGTGTCTCGGAACTTCAATTGGCCGTGATAAGATGGTTGGCCTTCAGCCACATACCGTCTATAGACCCACAATTTCTCTTGAAACAGTTGTCTCAATTAGAAGCCGCTTGGGGAGAACAAACGTTAACCGTCGAAGAGGTCAGTGATTGACGCGAGTTTTTGTGTTAACACATCCGCACAAACATTTTAACCTACATATGAAACATATATTTTTATTAATTCACACAATCGCATRGACAACCGATAATTTCAAGTATAGTGATTCTTATTTGAAAACGATAATTCGATACTGCTGGGGTGATCAATAAATCCGATATTGATAATTATTAATTGTACAAAAGCTTTATGTTTTCAATTTTTTTTTTAGTAGTAGTACAAAATGTATATCAACAGAGTAATTTTTTCCAGGAGGATTGGCTTGCCGACTCTTTCAACGTTTTCTTAGACTATTCCATGCAACTGATTCGGAAATACCGCAAACTCTTTCCACCGTACCATCACGTATCGATGAACCGTCTGGAGTATATTCTAAGGTAAACAATTAATGACGAAGTCTTATTATTTTTTCAATTAAAATTAATTATTCTGATTTGGGTACCTTGATCTTGATCATCAATTCCGCGTAATGACTGACGTGAAATTATAATGTATTTTATATTACAGATGTTTGAGCCGACTGTCGTTGTCAAAAGCGTACGGTAAATGTTGTCCTTTTAATAAGGATATCCGTGGGGAAATCRGCAACGCGCTCAGACTTGGTACAAATGAGTGGTACGAAGAAAATAGAAAATTCATGACCTCCGGACAGCACGATCCAGAAACTCGACTCAAAGGATTCGTAAAACTAGTCACTTCCGTGTTGATTGATCTGCAAAAAGGCGTGGAACATTACAACGTTTTATTTGAAAAGTAACGCTATTTTTCGTTACGTGTGTTGTAGYTGTAGTGTGAAAATGTTTTTGATTCAATAAAAAAYAAAAATTGCTTTTTGTTTTCACTTTTCAGTATAAACGGAGTGTTTTACTATGCGGCGATCTACAAACAACACGAAAAATTAGTAAGTACTTACAGACGGTAAACGTTATTATTRAAGTTCTAAAATTTCTTAATAGGCCGATCGATAATTCAGTTAGCAGTAACAAATGATATTGTGTTTTCTCAGTTGGCAAAGGGATTTTCAAATCATTTGGACATAATCATAGAGGTACAAAGTATGACACGACCCAGTAAATGAATTTTAGTGCCCTCGCAGTAGTATTCTCAGTGCTACAATTCCGTTGCCAATAAAATCATATTAATCTGTGTTTTGCTATTAGGGGTGAAAAATATTGTTAAAATAATATTATTATGTTTGTTAGAAGTGTTTTAACGCTTTATCCGATAATATGAACATGTTGTGCCACTCAATATAATAATTATAGAGAGAGTTTTTTGAAATTGTTCATAGATTTTAGTTTTGAAAACATATGATGCGTATAGATGTTTGTGGATTTATATGTTTATGTATAGAGTGATATTTAGTTGAGAATGTTATACATTGTTTTTAAATTAATTAATTTTTTTTTTAATTTAATGATTCTATGATTTCAGCTGTCAAACGATCTGAGCCAAGAAATAGCTCCCATTTGTAAAAAAGTAAAAGGAGCCGATTTCGGTATGGACACACCACTATCTCCGACAAACTCCGAAACCGGGGAATCGCTGTTTGAGCTGTATCTAGCCGTTCAGGAATTTATCAGGTTTGTTTCAGGACACGAAATTAAACTACCCACCGAATTAAAATCCCATTTTTATTTTTATTTAAAAATTAATGCACAATGAACATACAATATTGTCGTACGTAATACAATTTCTATAGCTAAAACTCAATATCGTTATCAGGTACCGCGAGCATCTCAATGCGTCCGATTACCAAGGCCTGTCAACACAATGCTATTACCATTGGTTCGAACCCGCTTTGGAAAAGTGGTTGGATCTGGCCAAATTGAAAATCGTTCAACGTGCGAAAAAAGCACTAGAGTTGAGTACGATCTGTCAAGGCGAAATGATCGTAAAGCACTCGACGTCGAGCAACGACGTGGTRACAGCACTGTGTCACGTGAGTATAATAGAATAACTGCACTACTCAATAATGTCGCCCTCGATACAATATACGCGGTGGACATATTTTACCATTTTATTCATCTCTTATATCGTGTTTATGCAGATGAAGGAATTCTGGAAACACCTCGCCTGGCCGGACCTGATCCAGTCGTACAATTTCGTATTGAAATTACTAGACGTAATGTTGTTTGCTCTTTTAACCATAATACACGCATGACGTGCACTGTGGAATTAAAAAAAAAAAAAATTAATAATAATATCAATTTTTTCTTGCAGGCCATGTGCGAAGCGGTCCTGTTTTACGCCCAACTGGTCCATCAAAGGCTAAAAGATTCTGGCTTTTACGATGACGTTTCGGCGTTCAAAACATCCGATGAAGTACGTAAATCATATATAAAACGCACACGTGCGTCATATTATTATCAATATACAGGTACAAGGCTGGTCATTAATTATTTAAAAAGTTAAAGTTAAGTTACTTTTAAYCATGCCGAATTAATTTCCATAATATCCAGGTGGGTGCTGCTATCTGCATAACATTTGAGCTGAATTAACCTTATTAAAATTAAAAATCAAAAATATCAAATACTATTCATAAAAAGTAAAGTAACTTTTATTTTTAAAATTGAATAAAATTAGTCTATATTAACTCAATTTAAGGAGCAAATTAATTAAACCTTGCATTCAATACCCAAATTCAACTTGATTATTCTTCAACAATTATTATTCCCGTCCG